ATCTTGGTATTCTCGTGAGTGCGAGGGTCTTTGAGACCGGCGCCACTCAGCCTCCAGCACTGTTGGTACACGGAAATCGCCTCCTCGTAGCGCCCTCTCCTCTCCAACAGCTGCCCCAGGTTCAGGTGTGCCACTGCGTGAAACACACAAATCATCATCATAGCAACAGAATCCCCCATACACTGGGGCGACAAATGTTGAACGTCTGTCCAGTGTTTCAACAAACAACTTTGTTGCCTTTGAAGGGGTGTGAAGCCCTTATATAGTTCTGGTAATGGGAGGTTGGACGAACTGTGGACAGCCCTGCTGTAAAATATGCAACGATCACGTGGCTGAGGACAAAAGACAACGAAGAACTTTTCAGTTGATCGCGTGGTCACTAGAAGAGGCGATGGAACGCTTAGCGACGACTTCGAAAAACTCGTCGTGGCATTCACCCTGAAGATGGCATCGGCATTGTTTGCCGAAACAGAAAGCCTTCAACATTGGACGTGACTTTCCTCCGAATTTCAGACAAGAACGTTCTGGCAACCTTTATGTTCTGACGATGATACCGAAACAATGGCATGACGTGTTGTGATAGAAGTGAATCTGGAAAAATTTCGAACCGACTCGGACAGATGTACTACGGTCAGCTTGTTACAGCAGCAACCAGCTACCGCCGAGTTAGTCTAAGAGTGCCACAGAGGTGTGGATTGGCGTGTGAAGGAATTGTGTAGAAGGAGGATGAGACCCAGGCGTAGGTGATGATAACATTCAGACGAATCTCAAATACGCTGTGAATTGGGTTCATGTGCCTCAGGATTAGGGAGAAATGGCGAGTATTATTGAACATGTGGGTTGCATAACAGGCTGTTGGGTAAATTTAATGATAAAAGATCTGCAATTTTGTCCCATAATTTTAAAGAGCGCGAAACCACCAATTCTAATTGAATGAGGGCGTTGAGAGCATTCAGGCTAAGTAAGGACGGTTTTTGGCTTTTGTCAACGCGGAAATGAACTTTAATATTTCACAAAAAAGCTCGTAATTTTATGTCGAACTGAGGAACTGCAGTCATTCGAAGACACTCTGTAGCTTGGAGCTTGTTCGCACGGCATTTCATTAGAGTCAGGACAGATACTAGTTGATTGGTTGATCTGTAGGCCTTCGTGTCTGGAGCACGAGAGATGTGACGTTGCTTCAGAGTTTTAAAAGCATCGAGTTATCTGTTGATATGTGCCTAATGTTTCCTCCACAGTACAAGAATTACGTAATAGTTAACCTTTCTGATAAGCCACCTACCTGGGTACTTTTGAAGGCTGTTCATAAAAATATTCTAAAATTTATAGCACGAGAATTGTGTTTCAAAAGACGTAAAATATGGGCATAAGAAAGAACAGGGCTCGTGTTTTATTTGCGTTCAGCTAAAGCAGCGGTCACTCCAAAGCCTTCATCTTAATGAAACCAGACAATAGAACATTTTTGTACAAAATATTTCTTCAAATGATATGTGTTAATCCGGTGAAGATATATGCTCACACTTAATACATTTTAACATTCAACGATTACCCTTGCACGTGTACAAAAAGACTGAAATAACAAATTTTGAAATCTTATTCAACTTCTAGACCTGTTCTACCAAGTTTTTATTTGCATTCGAAACTGTGACGTATTCCCTGAAGAAACGAAACATTACAGTAACTGCCTGAAGTAAGCATTCTTTTCACCTTTCGGAAAGTCACAGTTATTAAAGAAATCCTTGAATTCTTAATGAGTTGAGTGACTGCAGTGGATTTAAAGTTGACCGCGGGCTTCAAAACAGAGGACAGCGTTTTCCCCCACAGAATCACTCTCCTCCCTCATCGGCCACTTTTCTGCTATCTCTCCATAAAAACAGCAACTTCTCCTTAACCAAAGTTCCTCATTAGCCATCTTGTTTCCACTCTCCCAGCTGCTGCACGATGTAAGAGAGACGCGTCACACCCCTCGCCCAGTTCCTGCAGCAGCCGTCATCATGTGGAATTACCGCATTAAAATATTTCCCTCCTTCAGCCTGGAATAATTGTTAAATCGCATTAGGTTACAGGCTACCCATCTCTGCTAATGCTACATCGCCAAATTAGCACTGCGTGATAGGACCTAATTTTAAAACATCGAGAGATGTTACGGTAGGCAGCTGTTTCTAAAGCGGTCTGACGGACTGAGAGGGGAATGTCGGGTTGTCTACTATTTCACAGATGCTGAAGTAAACGTAATTATATCATCTGAGTAAGTCTGAAGCAGAGAATTACTTGACAGTAAAGGATGTTTTTACGAGGTGAGCTTCAGTTAGTGTGACAGAATTAAGAACGCAAAGTCTATATAAAAACTTACAGTATATTTTCTGGTCTTTGCACGAAAAATCGGACTGTCACAAATACTGTAAGAACAGATTACTACGATGGCGCCACCCCGCGTGACAGTACTGAACCAGAAAATGTTCACGAGCCTCCGTCTGAACAGCCATTTGAGTGAACATAAAAGCAAAACATCTGTTTCCAGTGCGACAGGGATACGATCTTGAGACCCGGTAGAAATATATTTTAAGCTCGTAAAAAGTTTCTGTTGTGCAAATGGTATTCGTACGCCATCCAACATGCCGACATACATATGAGAATAGAAGCTCGATTTACCTGTTCGTCGAGAGTCGAACTTCGTTAGAGATTAGAGATATGACTTCTGAGGACAGGAGGGACTTAGCATGCAAAAGTACAGAATAATTTCGACAGAACACCAAAATAAATGTCGTAGAACATTCTTGCATGTTGTATTAAGTTTATGAACAATTTCACAACGTTATAATTTATAAGGGCTTGTCACACTTTGAATTACGTGTTAGTAAACAGTCTTAGAGCAGAATTTCACTTCGACTTATTGAACAGGTCACAACAAGCACGGTCCTGTCAAACCCAAGAGTGACAAAGTGAGGTCACAACAAGGTTGAACGTGCACTTACAATAATTCACTGTGAACAATTAGCGCGTAAGAACGTATTGGCACTACTTTTTCATCGGCTGAAGGGTGTGTGGTGTTATGAATACAAATTGACAAGACACGTGACTGCGAACGCCTCAATGGGAGACCGAGTGTACTTACACGCAAGTGTTGGCCTGTACTTAATGGCAAGTTGGTAGCTCTGAATGGCCTCCTCGTACGCTTCCCTGCCTTGCAGGAGAATCCCCCTGAAACGAAAATAAATTATCAACAGCGCACATTCAGTAATCACCAAAACAAATAATTAAGCTCTGTATGAAATATCCCCTGATACTTGTCATTTGCGTTACATGGCCACAGTTTACCACACAATTTTGCTTTTCGCGGATTAGACAGGGTGTTTCAACGCTCGATAGTGTTACAGATGCCATCTTCAGAGTTAAAGAATGCTTCAAGGTCACGTGGAAACCGTACGTAGTCGTAAAACAAAGAGCGGTGCTTAGACGAGTGAAGACAGCTCAGAACTCGACGCTGCAGTGTCGAGTTCCATCCGCCCCGAGGGGGGGGGACGATCTTCCGTGGCCTTCGAGCACACAAACTGGACACGACTGCCCTAGTCTCGTATGTGGTTTAAGAGATTTCAAAACATACTGCCTCCATTTCCGGGGTAGAAGTGAAAACATTGGTAATCACCTGTAAAGATATATAAAGGCAAAAACAGCAATTTCGATAGGTGTGTATGTATCATTGGTAGTTACAAGCTAGCGAGTATCATTTTTGAACTGTTTCTTGGAGCATCCCACGTGCAATTTGGTGATGGTGACGTCACTCAGAGGACCACGATGTGAGATCTCGTTTGAACCTGCTCGGATTCTGTACGTTATGATCGATAGGAAACATAAAATGCTGAACAAAAATGGCGACATGTGACAACTGCTGTAACGTGCTCCTACAATTTATAATTCTGAATTTCACCCACAGAGTGTATTTAAGGATGAAGCATGGTTCTCTTTGCGGTAGGTACAAGACCTTCAAACACCATTTGCGATCTTCGGCTTCAAAGAGTTAATGAAAATGAAAGATAAGTTCACCGCAGACCTTAAAGACCTAAATTCTACACAGAGTCCGGTGAAACGAAGCGAAGCGGAATAATAGCACACATGAAGTTTTGCCGTGGAAAAAATTCGTTTTGAATATTCTGGCATAGCGCGCGCGCGGAAAAATGATTCGAGTGAACGCGACGTGGCGGAGAAGGGACACGCAGGTTTCTATGTCGAATCCGCACTCCATATTCAAAGTCTGTGAAGACGATTAAGTAAACCTTGAGAATCGTGCAAGGGTTAATTTCGAATGACTGCTTCGAATTGAAAGCGGTGTGCTTATCTGTTTATCTGCGAGGACATTACGATCCATCTTTGACAGCTTTATTTGCAAACCTTCCTTCTTGAACAGTACGCATTGAACATCTAATATCGACTGTCCAACGAAAGAGTAATATGTGCTTCGCTGAATCAGAGACCAGGAATTGGCTTCTAGGCGAGGTTACAGGTCCCAGTTCAGGAAGGACGCATCAGCTGGCTGCTGTCTTACCACCGCGGAATATGAAGTTACAGGGAAGCTACGATGTCTGTTGGACATGAGAACTCTAAATGTGTTTTCAGGAGCGTTTCTAACACGGAAACAGACACACCAATTAGGGGAATTTTCAGAGTTGTCTTTCTTCAATTTCTTTGCATGTAACATGGTTCGTAATACCTGATGAAGCTCTGTGTAACTCGAAACGGCAAGTCTGCATTAAATTTTGTAGAGCCATTTTTACTTCTGTTCAGACAAGATCACCGTAACCATCACATTACATAAGAACTTCAGTAGACTTCCGAACAAATTTCCGAGTTAGATGAAAAGCCTGCTTTTGTTTCGGGTTACGGTAATTCTGCTCTAGTGACTTTGACGTTCATAAGGCGGTGAGGATGTTTGTGGTATCCTGGGATGTGACGTCGCGGCGTGCTGCAGGTGGAACGTGGGGACGGCACGTTCCTCCGAACGCTGGTGAGCACCCACAAAACTTCAAGGCGTCACAACCCGGAATCCAGGAACCTAACGTAACCTCCACTTATCGCGCTCTGTGGAACCTAACCTAACCTCAAGTTCCCCGGATTATACGAAAAATTAAGGACACAGACAGTGGCCAGATAATGATTTTTAATAATCATTAGCCGGTAAGGGTTCCATTTTCCTGTATGGGAAAGAAGAATGCACAGGGTGTACCATTTAAAACGCAACTCGTGTTACGACACGAATTAAATCGGAAGGCGGGAATTTGGTGTGTCCACAAGCATTTAGCAATGCGCGTCCTGTCAAGTAAAGACAACGCACCAACTGTTCACCTGACAACACAATTTCGAGGCACAGAAAGTGTTTGTGACAGGACACGTCCGGCGTCGGACAGATTGACTGGTGAGACGTTTCGCTTCAACATGACAGAGCGACCACCCACACTGTACTGCAAGAGTTATTTGGTGACCGCTTGTTGGGAGCGGCCACTGGCCTCCGCGATCTCCAGACCTCACCCCGTCAGACTTATTTCTGTGGGAATCTGCCAAAGAAAAAGTTGAGTAACCTCCGAAACTTAGAGGAACCAAAACACAACATTAAACAGAAACACTGGCCCCACAACACTTTCCAAAGTCGCATGGACCACTGAGAGGCTGCGTGGTTTTTCTTTGAGAACGTGGTGGACATATTCAGCTTCTTCTATAAAGATGTTCTGTAAGTTATTCGTAAGAGACATGAAGTAAATGTAGCTCGCTTGTCTTGTTATATTCATGTTACCAAAGCGTACAAATCCTGTGGTAATTGGGGTTGCATTTCAGATGGAACAATCTGTAGTAGAAAGGCCTTCAAAGAATCAAACAGTGCTCTGCAAAGGACAAGAACTCGGAAGAAACTGGACCACTTAAAAGCATATGCACTCTACAGGGAAGCATTATCAAAGCTCACACTCATTACGGCGCTTGGCGTATGAAATAACAACACAGTTAACGTTCTCAACATGTAGGAACATTACCTACGTAATAATACAGGTCGAATGAATCTGATAATCGCCAGCCTTGTAACATAATACAGCGTCTCTAATGATATCACGTAAGTTGCAAGGATCCAAGAGAATAAAACCCGAACGCCCCACTTCTGTTTGGCCTCTCAGGAGGTGCTCCCTCAACCTCTTTACGTAAGGGGTCGTTTCAGTAATTAGCTTTAGGCTTCGCTGGAAAGCAAAAACATTTTAACTCCACAGCAATGCGAATTCTAGAGATAGTCTACGGTAGGCGCGTTCCAAATCAACTTCTGGCCATCATCACCTAGCCAATGCTCTGGCGTGACAACATGAATAGTGAGTTCAACTCGAAGACATTTGAACTAATCACTTACAATTTGTTTTTTTTTTGGCAACGAATTCTGATAATGAAGTTGCATTTTACAGCCAGCAAAAAGTTTTGAAAGCCAAGCAGTCATGAGTCATCTTCCTGGAAACCAATTAGCTCAGGCATTCTGGACCCAGTCCAAATGAAATCTTTCTTCCAGCTCCCTGTGTGTGTTAACCAATCGAAGGAACATCGCTCCTCTAGGACGAGTTCAATTCGATGGCTCGTGACGTAGGCAAATTATGAGATTATAGCTGAGAAACACAAGTTCGGCGAGAAATTAATTCAACGTGAATGGGGCAAATGACACAGAGGATCTCACTGCAGCGAAAATGTTGATTTGTAATCTTCTGATTTCGGCGCCGTGTTGACGTGTTCGCCGTGTCCCACGGAAGCCTCGTGTGCGTGAATGGTCTAGCTAAACACTATGATGGAAGAAACAAACCTGGAATATGTTAAAACTGCAGTAGAACCTGCTAATATGACCAAACTTTAGTCAGCCCGATTAGAATGATAACGTGTGAGTTTGGAGTGGCCACTGGCCTCCAGTCCCAAGACCAGTTGGTCTCTGTAGACATATTCTACCATAAAGCAAATATGTGGCCTGCTGTACGTTAGGTCTGTGGTTAAAACAAACTTCAGAGAAGTTGCACATTGGAAACTAGACTGTACCTGCAGTGTAACAGACGTCGTTCATTACAAGAGCTCAGCGTTGATGCTAATGATTACAGAACTTAAAATGGAGACAGCGTCGTGACAAACTGAAAATCGGGAGCATGATCACAGGATACTTCTGGCTGTAATGAGAATCCTCGATATTGACATTAAGTCACAAAGCGCACTGCTCTGGGAATGAGGCGAATTATAAAACGAGGGCGCAGAGCAATGATTTCAGTCTTCACGACGTCACGCTGTTCAGGAGTGTTACTCGCGCGTCAGCCATGTTAAATCTCCCTTCAAGGTTTACCAAGGAAGATACTGTATGATTTCTTTCTGCCCATATCATCCTACCTAATTCAGCAACGACAATGATAATTTGGTGAACAGAAATGAAGATGATTTCGTTATCCTCCTGTTGAGTTCTTCCCACGCACAGACATTATCCTCCCCTTAGGGCGAGTGGCGATATTTCACACCCGCGTAAAACAAATACGAGATGAGAAGGGTTAGGTCAATCAGTACCACGCACTGGATTAACGGGTTCGATCCCCGAAAGGGGCAGAGGATTTTTCCTCTAGCCCCTGCGTCCAGACCGGCTCTGGAGCTCACCCAGCCTCCTGTCCAATGGGTACCGGGATCCTTTCCCGGGGATAAAGCACGGCCGGGGCGTGACGCTTATCAATCACCCCCATCTAGTGCCGAGGTCAGGAAAAAGTAGGAGCTATACCACCTCTCCACCCAAGTCCCACCGCGGCGTGTACAGGAGAGTTTTGCCTTTATAAATCAAGTAGATGCACACGTCTGTAGGCTGTGTGTTTAGGTTTTTGCACAGGAGAGGGGAAAATACTTTGATGTAAAGATCGGATATAGAAATTAAGTAGCGTAGAGCTGTTTCATCGTTCTGCCAACAGAACCAGCTAGTTGGTCTACTTCTTTCCAAATATTTGCTCAGCAGTTTGTCGCCCTCGGCGTTTGATAACGAAATCTGCGAAGTGGATGACTTAATAGTGCGATGAATAACACAAAGTTTGTTTAGGAAGAATTTAAGACAGGCACTGAGACTCAGATGACAGAAACGTTCTCCTTTCCCATTTTTTTTAGTGCAAGTATTCAGGGTTTGCAGCAAACGAGCCTCGCTCTGTGATGAATAGAGAGAGAGAGACCAG